ATAATATATAATATATAATATATAATATATAATATATAATATATATAATATATATTTATTTATTATATATATAATTATATATTGTATAATATATAATTAACATGCATGCATACATGTACCAATTCATGCATGCATGCATGCACCAATAAACGCATATATGCATACATGCATGTATGCATGCACTTATGCATGCATACACTTCTGCATGCACTGCATGCATGCATGCATGCATGCATTCATGCATACCTGTGTAGGTGGCGTAGCATCCTCAATAAGAGGAAGAAGAGACAAGAAATGTTCGCCTACTGCTGTTATTGCTGCTGTAGGGTTTAGTCCCTCCTCCTCCTCCTCCTCTGTGTCTCCATACCTGCTGCTGCTGCTGCTGCTGCTGTTACCTGTGCCATTGCTGCAAACTGCAGCAGCAGCAGCAGCAGCAGCAGATAAGGCAGCAGGATACGTATGCTGCAGGAATAGATCAATAGGCATGCAGCAGCAAGTAATAACAAGATCTTGTGTTGCTGCTGTTAGTGCAGCAACAGCAGCAAAAGAAAGAGGCAGCAAACATTCAGGCTGTGGGGCCCCACGGCTGCTGCTGCTGCTGCTGCTAAGTGTCTCTTGTGCAGCAGCAACAGCAGCAGCAGAAGGAGACTGTAATGTATAACTTGATCTATACAGACACAAATAAATAAATAAATAAATAAATAAATAAATAAATAAATAAATAAACAAATAAATAAATAAATAGACGGTGCATGCATTCTTTGGGGCTTTGAAAAGACACGCATGCAAGCAGCAGCAGCAACAGCACCAGCAGCAACAGCAGCAGCAACAGCAGCAGCAACAGCAGCAACAGCACCACCACCATCACCATCAGTAGGAACACCAGCAGCAGCCACAGCAGTAGCAACAAAAGCATCAACAGCAGCAGCAACACGAACAGCAGCAGCAGCAGCAGCAACAGCAGCAGCAGCAGCAGCAACAGCAGCAGCAGCAGCAGCAGCAGCAGCAGCATAATGTGTACCCTTTTAAGATGATATCTATCCAATAAGAAAGACGATTTGGTCTTCTTATTGCTGCACCTAAATGCTCTATTAACGCATGACCAACCTGCAGCAGCAGCAGCAGCAGCAGCAGCAGCAGCAGCAGCAGCAGCAGCAGCAGCAAGAGTAGCAAAAGCACCAGTAACAGCATTAGCAGCATATAGAAGATGCCTATTGCAGCACAAATGTGCTTCTTGCATGCAACAACAGCAGCAGCGGCAGCAGCAACACCACCAGCAACAGCAGCAGCAACAGCAGCAGCAGCACCAGCAGCAACAGCAACAGCAGCAGCAGCAAAATAATTAATTTACTTCTTGTAGTTTATCATAGAAGGAAGTCATTAATGCATGCAACTTAAGACAAGAAGAGAAGAAAGAAACATCAAAGGGTATCTCCTCTATACTATCTATTTGCTGCTGCTGCTGCTGCTGCTGCTGCTGCTGTTGCTGTTGATTGTGCTGCTGCAGCTGCTGCTGCAGTAATGTACGAGACTGCAACATAACATACTCACATAAATCATCTCTAGGGTATAGGGTTTAGGGTTTGTCTATTTGCTGCTGCTGCTGCTGCTGCTGCTGCTGCTGATGGGGTAATATATCCACTTTTGCTGCTAATTGCATGCATCTGCTGCTACGCTAATAAACAAAAATTAGGGTTTAGGGTTTAGGGTTTAGGGTTTATTACCTGTACAGCAGCAGAGTGATGGAAAGTATTAACACGAGGAGATAAACGATTTAGCTGCTCAACAGCAGCAGCATCAGCAGCAGCAACAATAAATGCAGCAGCAGCAGCAGCACTTCCTCTTTTATTTAATAAAGGAAGAGAAGATAATATCTGCCCTATGCATGCATTCGTCTCCTCCTCCATCTGTAATACTGCCTGCATATATAATATACAGCAGCAGCAGCAACAGCAGCAGCAGCAGCAGGTGCAGCAACAGCAGCAGCAGCAGCAGCAGTAGGTGTAGCAGCAGCAGCAGCAGCAAACTCTGTAAATGCCTCTAAGGCACATAAACGATATGGAGGAGACAAAAACAGCCCCAACATTCATCCCTTTTGCATGCGCATGCATGCATGCATGCATGCATGCATGTGCAGAGCACCTACATGCATGCATGCACAGCTTATGCATGCATGCATGTATAGCTTATGCATGCCTGCATGCATGCGTGCATGCATGCATGCACGCATGCATGCATGGATATATAAATTACCTGTGAAGGAGAAGTCTTATTATAATTATAATTATAAATAAGAAAAGAATAATAATTATTAAATAAAAAAGAGACACAAGAAGAATATATTATTAATAAGGAAGGAGGAATAAAGGAGACACTTCTGCAAAACTATATACAGACAAGAAAAAAAAAACAAATAAATTAATTCATTAATTAATTAATTAATTAATTGTGCTGCTACTGCTAGTCTTGCTGCTGCTGTTGCTGCTAGTTCTGCTGCTAATGTTGCTGTTGCTGTTAGTGTTAACAGCAGCAAAAGAAAAGGCAAACAGCAGCAGCAACAACAACAGCAACAACAACAGCATCAGCACCACCAACAGCAACAGCAGCAGCAGCAACAGCAGCAACAGCAGCAGCAGCAGCAGCAGCAGCAGCAGCAGGAGCTTACTCGTTCCCATAGATCAGGTTGTGTTGCTTCTGTCTCCGCAAAGGCAGGTGTTGCGTTTATTAATGTAGCAGCAACTTCGTACGCCTCTAGTAGCTGCTCAGCTAGCTGCAGCAGCAGCAGCAGCAGCAGCAGCAACAGCAGCAGCAGCAGCAGAAGCAGTAATTGGATAATAGGGAGGGAAGGGGGAAAGAATGGTGTCTCTGCAGCAAAAGGAGACAATAAGAAGAAAAAGGAGACACTTTTTATCTTACCTCTAATCCCTCTTTTGCTTGTTGCTGCTGCATTTGCTGCTGCTGCTGCTGCTGCTGCTGCTGCTGCTGCTGCTGCTGCTGCTGGGGACAGTAACGCAGCAACAACTTATCTAAATCAGGAAGAGGGACATCTGCCCCTGCACCCATTGATGCTAACAAGAGAGACAACCATAACTCATGATTTGTCTCCTCTTCTCTCTCTAAACAGCAGCAGCAGCAACAGCAGCAGCAGCAGCAACAGCAGCAGCAACAACACAAGCAGCAACAGCAGCACAATGACAACGGATAGGGTTTGAACAAACACACACAACGAGGGTTTAGGGTTTAGGACTTTTAGGGTTTAGGGTTTTTAGGGTTTAGGGTTTAGGGTTTAGGGTTTGTGTCTCCTCCTATAAAGGAGACAATTGTGCATGCAAAGGAGACAACTGTGCATGCAGAAGAAGAAAAGGAGACACTTGTGGTGTCTCCTTGTCTTAACAAAGACACAATAATAAATATATTTATTACCCTTAAACCCTAAACCCTAAACCCTAAACCCTAAACCCTAAACCCTAAACCCTAGAAAAGAAAAATAAATTACCTTTAGGTATAGGAGAAAGAGGCCTTAATGAATAAGGTGTCTCCTCCCTAAAAGGAGACAAAGGAGACTTCCTGCTGCTGCTGCTGCTGCTGCTGCTGTCTCCTAGTGTGTCCTCTTGTCTCCTTGATGCATCTACTGCTACTGCTGCTGCACGTAGCAAACCTGCTGTCTGCAACACAAACCCTAAACCCTAAACCCTAAACCCTAATAATAAGAACTGTCCCCTTACCCTATACCTTAATAATAATTAGTGTTTTCTTTCCCTAAACCCTAAACCCTTAAAAAAAAAAAAAAAAGTGTCTCCTTCCCCTAAACCCTAAACCCTAAACCCTAAACCCTAATTTAGGGTTTACATACTTGTTCAACAGCAGATGTCCATTTCTCTGCATAGATAGTAAGAGCATCTCCTACAGAGAGACAGCAAGAAGGTGTCCCCTGTTCCTCTTCTTCCTGCTGCAGTTGCTGTATCCCTTGCTGCTGCTGCTGCTGCTGCTGCTGCTGCTGCAGTAAAAAATTGTCCCCTAATTCTGTTTCCTCTGTTCTTGCTGCAGTAGTTTGTTGCCATAAATGTCTCCATGCATGCAAAAGGAGACACCTTAATGCAGCAGGTAACTCAATAAGAAGAGACACTTCTTCCCCTATCTTCTTGTATGCATGCACAGCACTAGCAAAACCACTAAGACTATTTGCTGCTACAGACTCCTTTAGCCTGATGACAAACAGCAACAGCAGCAGCAGCAGCAGCAGAAGAAGAGACGGTCTTAATGATAGGAGATATGTAGGGGGAGGGGACAGACAGCAGCAGCAAATCAATTAGCAAGTGCAGCAGCAGCAGCAAGAACAATTACAGCAGCAGCAGCAGCAGCAGCAGCAGCAGCAGAGCGTAAGCATGTAGTGTGATAAAGGGACACTTGGGGTGTATAGGCAGCTAACAGCAGCAGAAAAAAAAGCACATAAAGATATCTACAGCAGCAGGAAGAGAGCGACAGCAGCAGCAGCACAACAGAGCAGCAGCAGCAGCAGCAGCAGCAGCAGGAGCAGCATACAATAAGGAGACAAAATGTAATACTCTTTGCTGCAGTCTTTTTGCTGTTTGTCTCCTTATAGAGAATTGAGGAAGGGACTGCAGCAGATCTGCTGCATGCAGCAAAGAAAAGGAGACACTTGCTGCTTCTTTTATTGCTTGCTGCTGTGATTCCTGCTGCAGCTCACCAGGACGAAGGGACTGCAGCAGCAACTCTGCTTCCTGCATCCTGCAGCAGCAGCAACACAAGCAGCAGCAACAGCAGCAGCAGCAGCAACAAGGAGACACAAGACAATGCATGCATGCATACATGCACGCATACACAAATAAGACAATTTATGCATGCAAACACATACTGCAGCAAGCTGCTGTATCTATCTGCTGCTGCTGCTATCTGCTGCTGCTGCTGCTGCTGCAGCAAGCGTACCGGAAGTGCCATCTATGTAGCTCAGCAGCAACAGCACTGCAATCCTCCAGGTGTCTCCGCACCCCATGGAGTACATACACTGTAGATAGGCCCTCCTGCAGCAGCAGCAGCAGCAGCAGCAGCAGCAGCAGCAACAGCAGCAGTAAATATTAAAGATGCAATTGGAGGAGAAAAGATATGCAACAGGAAGAGCAGCAGCAGCAACAGCAGCAGCAGCAGCAGTACTTGCAGCAACAGCAGCAGCAGCACTAGAGTGTGCAGCAGCACAGAGCAGCAACAGCAGCAGCAGCAGCAGCAGCAGCAGTTACCTGCTGCATGGATCCTCTTGCATGCAGACTATGCAGCAGCTGCTGCACTGTCTTATGACAATTAGCTGTCTCCTTTTGTAGAGACACAGCAGCAGCAGCAGCAGCAGGAAGAGAAGAAGAAAGGGACACCGCGCTCCTCTCTGCTATACCAAGGCAGTGCTGCATATACACCACACAAGGCAGCAGCAGCAGCAGCAGCAGCAGCAGCAGATGCAGCAGATGCAGCAGCAGGTGCAGCAACAGCAGCAACAGATGCATCAGCAGCAACGAAAGGGTCAGGCCATTTGTGCCTATAGACCGGTTGCCTGTGCAACAGCAGCAGCAGCAGCAGCAGCAGCAGCAACAGCAACAGCAGCAGCAGCAGCAGCAGGACTTTGTCTCCCCCTTACATCAATTTTCTTCCTAAGGGCTTGTTGCAGTTCCTCTAGTTGTCCCTCAAGGGTACTTAGTACCTCCTCGGGGGCCCCCTTGGGGGCCCCTATATGTGCATCTATAAAAGTGCATGCATCCCCTGGGGGCCCCATAGAGTACCCTTCAGGGGTTTGAGGGGACCCAGGGGCCCCCAGTGACCCTTGAGGGAGTTGAGGGGCCCCAGCAGGGGCCCCCAGGGGCCCTAACGAGCCTTGAGGGGGTTGGGGGGCCCCAAGGGGGGCCCCAGGGGGCCCCATGGGTATGTGGGGAGGAGGGGGTCTGGATAGGTCTTTGTGTGTCTGTACACTCATTGTTGTTGCTGCAGTACTGCTGTTGCTGCTGTTGCTGCTGCTGCTGTTGCTGCTGCTGCTGCTGCTGTTGCTGCTGCTGCTGCTGCTGTCGGGCAGGAGAAGACAAAGTCCATGATGGGCCTACGCAGGGTTTAGGGTTTAGGGTTTAGGGTTTAGAGGGAATAATAAAAATTTTTTCTTATTTATTAATAAGAAATAAAAAAAAAGAAAAAAAGGGTACGGAAGAGGGGCCCCCCTTCAGGTGTCTAGGGGGGCCCCCCTTAGCCAGTACCCTGCAGTAGTACCCTCCGACAGCTAACAATCTCTATATTAAATAATTTATATTTATTTATGTATTTAATTTAATTTAATTAATTAATTAATTAATTTATTTATTTATTTATTTATTTATGTATTTTTATTTAATTAAAGAAAAAAAAAGGAGACAGCAACAAGGAGACAAATATACACCACAATAACTTTTTTTTTTTTTTTTTTTTTTTTTTTTTAAAAAAAAAAAAAAAAAATTTTTTTTTTTTTTTTTTTTTTTTTTTTTTTT